AAAAATTGAGTTTCTGGCTTGTGGACTCAAAAGTTAAGCGTGAAGACTGTCTTGGGAAGAAAGAATTTAAAAATCGTCATTGAATAGTGTACCACTGAGTCTGAAAAACGAAATAATTTGAATGTTTAAAGTCTCAAAGGAAGTTACAGTTTGTTATAAATTTCCATGGTTATAAACCAGATCGTTTTTTAATTCACCATGGGCATGGTTCAGGTTGGCAAGTTGACCATGGTCAGATGCAAGACCATGGTCACAAAGACAGTAAACCATGGTTGTCAAATTTACCATGGTCAACCACGGTTGATCAGAGCATGGTCAGATGTATGACCATGGTCAACCATGGTCAGAAAAGTGGAAAACCATAGTTGACCATGATTTTCACCACATCCAACCATGGTTTGACCATGGTTATCAATGGTTAGCGATGGTAACCATGGTCAACCATGGTTGCATTTTGACAGGGGTGAACACCGGACTTCCCGACCTCCTGTAATATCGACCTTAGAGTCTGGTACAGTTTTATTGCTTAACACAAAATATTTCGCCTAAGAGTATGTGTTTACATATAATGTTTTTATGTTTTTAATTTTTAGAAGTGTTATTTTTCATCTTTTTCTTGATATGTTGACTTAAGCCAGAAGCCTGTGATTTAGTGGTTGTCGTTTTTTGCGTTACATCATAATTGTTTTTCGTTTTTTTGTTTTGTACATAAATCAGGTCGTTAGATTTCTCGTTTGAATCTTTTTACATTTGTCATTTCGGGGCCTTTAATATATCATGGGTTTTGTAAAATTGAGAATGGAAATGGGGAATGTGTCAAAGAGACAACAACCCGACCATAGAGCAGACAACAGCCGAAGGCCACCAATGGGTCTTCAATGCAGCGAGAAACTCCCGCACCCGGAGGCGTCCTTCAGCTGGCCCCTAAACAAATATGTATACTAGTTCAGTGATAATGGACGTCATACTAAACTCCAAATTATACACAAGAAACTAAAATTAAAAATGATACAAGACTAACAAAGGCCATTTGTGCATTGTTTATCACGAAGACCGTACAGTGATCTATAGTTGCTAACTTCTACACTATTTGGTCTTTGGTAGGGAGTTGCCTCATTGCCAATCATATCATATCTTCTGATTTTAATATTTATAAAGAAGTTTAAAATGATCGCAACTTTTGACAATATTGCCGACAAACACTATGTTAGAGTCTTGATAGAAAATATGAATTTTGACTTGAATAACTTCTTTAAAACATATAACATGATTAATACAATTTTTTGTAATTCCAAAAAAATGGCATAACAAAAATACCGAACTCCAAAGTAAATTCATTATTAACCTGTCTTTAAGTCACTCTAGCTACAAAAAAATGAAACACAAAACTTTAAAATACAAATAAAAAACCCCAAAAAAACAACATCAACACAATTTAATTAAGCACATATTTCGTGTATTTATAAAGTTGCCATTACAGGAAACTGGGAAGTCAGATTTTATATATACTTAAAAACAACTTTTACCATCAATAAAGATTTATTTTATAAACACAATATAGTATTAACAACAGTTTATTATTATTACCACACATAAACCAATATTAATATACCACCAGATTCAACCAGACTCTAACGAACTTCTACAGACTCTGTTCAGCATGACCGCTAACACACTGGAAAGAACTACAACGACATGGTGGCGACAACATGGCGGTCGATAAACCCTTTCCGGATTTTTGTTTCTTTGTCAGATTTCCCCTGAAATCATCATAAAGGAGCAGACGGTTTCCTACAAATTTATATCTGAGAAGTATACGAGAAATCGTAAACTTGTATATCTCATTATCGAAAATAATCTCCTGGAGCTCGTCAGGTAGAACCTGTCTCTGACTCTCATAATAGTTTAACGTAGTTACACTTATTAATACAATAACAGTAATTTATACATACTGCCTTTTTATTCTTATCAAAGCAGAAAAGATTGTACAACTGATCGCGTCTTTTATGCACCAAATGATCAGTTAATCATACAAATTATCAAATTAGAACAAGTATATACTAAAAAAACCGCACCTTTTCGGTTTTGTTTGTTGTTTGTATGTATCCAGAAATTTCAAATTTTCACTCCTTGGTAGCTTTAATTTAGTCCAATTCTTTACGAAACGCTGTAAGACTCCGAATGCAATGCATGAAATGATGAAAACCGATCAGTTCGAAAGGTTTCCCATACTTTTTAAAAACAAATTTGCGCAGGTTAACAACTCGGAAACCTTTCGAACTTATCGGAATTAACAATTGTATGCAGTGGATCCGGAGCCAAGAGTGTCTATATTGTCTAGAAATTTACAATGAGGATTGTTGAGACCTCAATCATCAAAGTATGCCATCTTCTTTCTAAGTTTAGTTACCATTAGTATTTTTGTGTATTATGAAAAATATAATGGCATAAAATGCAACACTGAAAATTAAAGCAACCAGAAAAGATCTTCCTTAAACAAAACAAGATATGACACCTTGGATACACCGGATTAAGTGGTTCTTGTTCAGAAAATGGCATTCGTTTTGATGCTAATGGAAAGGAAAAGTTCGGTAATTAGTTGCATTCGATGAAGTTATAATCAAGTAAATGAAAATGGATTGTGGCGATGACAAGTTGAACATAACAGTAGTCATCTGTTACACAGATATTCCATAATGGTCAATCTAATCATCATATCATTCGTAAAACTTTCTTAGGGATGACCTCAACTTTACCAGCAAATAAATTGTGGACGCTAATTAAAACATAGTGTTAGTCGGCCATATTGTCAATAGTTGCTATCAAAGTCCGGTCATTGTAAACTTCTTTATAAGACAACACAGAAAGAAAAATCACCCCAGTTTTTGGTGGGGTTCGTTTTGCCAAGTCTTTAGTTTTCTATGCTGTTTTTTGTAGAGTGTTGTTTGTCTTTTGGTTTTTCGTTTTTTGCAATGGCATTGTCAGGTCGTTTTCGACTTATGAGTTTGAAAATTCCTTTGGTATCTTTTACCTCTCTTTTTAAGACAAAAGAAATTATTTCTTTTTTTTTTCATTGTGAACTTCCATTTCTATGTAGCAGCATTCAAGCTGGACTTTGAATATGGAGTTTATAACTCTAAATGATATAGTATTCCAGGGTTTGCATTTTCTATCATGAATTCCTTGATCGAGGGTGGCTGTTTTTTTTTAGAAAGCTACTGCATGGAAAATTTAATGACACGATGATAATTTGGTTGACCGTTATGGAATATATGTGTCGCAGATAAGCATTGATACGTTCCACAATATCTGTGTCACAGATGATCAAATAATTGTACCACCTGGCGTAGCCCAAATTCCGTCGTCGATCATCGAATTCAACCTATCACGGAATAGTTAATTGCAATTGTAAACGGATGTTTACTGATTGTGAACATGAACTACTTACCTTACTGGAGCAACTTATTTACCCTTAAACGTTGTATGTGTTATTTGTCTTTTCATCGTTTCTTCTTTTGGCCATTGGGTTGTGTGTTTTATTCGAATTATGGTTTTTTATTCCCATATTGGATCTCTTTTTAACCTCCCCAAAAAATGACAAGAACGTATAATTATCGCTTTCTTCTTCCGTTCGCCCTGCTTTCCGTGTGTCCGAAACAAATGATTTCAAGATAATTACGTAAGTATTCGTCACTTGAATGTAATGAAACCTTGCAGATGGAAGAGAGAAAGAAGTCTATTAGTTTTGGAGAAAATGGGTCAAGGTCAAATTCACTCAAAACAAAATAGAAAAAAAATATATGAAAAATGGTTTCAGGATGGTCTTTTGTATTTCTCAAGCATGATTGGAATGAAAAGTGTACAGATGGAAGCTATAAAGGCGGGGAAAGAAGTTCATTGATTTTGAGGTCAGTAAGTCAAAAGACAATGCCACTGCTACTAAAAATAGGTTCTTTTTTTGGAAAAATGGTTTCCAGACGGTAGCTTTAGTTTTCCTTTCTTGATTAGATTGAAACTTTTATAGATGGAAGATTAATAGGATAGGAGGAAAAGGCTTTTGTTTTGGGGACCAATAGGTCGAAGGTAAAGATTACTTTTACTAAAAGTAGAAAAAGATAGAAACTTGGTTTTCAGATGATAGCTTTTAACTTTCTCTTGATCGAAAAATCTTGGAATGCAATTTATGAAGATAGAATATATAGGAAAGAGGAAGACGCATATTGATTTTGGGGTCAATAGGTCATACTAGGTCAAGGTCAATGTTACACAAAAGATTAAAAAAAAGTTGGTTTCTGGATAGTATCGCACTATGAATTGTAACACATTTATACAGGTGAAAGTTAAGCAATACTAGTACCTGTTTATTTGTTCCTTAAGGCATACGCGTATTTTGAACCCTTGAAATTAAAAGGTTTTGTATCAATAAATTTGCAGTTAATGGAGCATCTGTTGGCAGTACTAGGTTTTTGACTTGTTTCTATCTAAAACTACAATTATTATTGGCATAATTCAATATGTTTCAAAAGGTCAATTAATATTTTACCACATCGGTTGTCTCATGGAAGGGTACTCGCCTCGAATGGGGGCGTTCGTGTGTTCGATATCCGATCGGTTCAAACTAAAGACTGGAGAAACATGGTTATTTTCTGCTTCTCCGCTAAGCATGCAGCAGTTAGGAGTAAGAACAAACGCTGGTCAGCTCAGAGTAAAAAAAAAGATGAACGGCTGGGATGACATGACTTCCTGTGGACTGTTATCTTGTGAAAAAAAATGTTAAGAATCCTGCTAGGAGTGTCGGTTTTGTACAATCAAAGTTTCTATTCAAATTACATTAACATGTCCTCGTCCTAATATGAATTTACCACTGGAATTTGTACACTAATTAGACCTCAAATCCATCAACTAACATATTTTAAAAGTGGCTAATAGATATAGCAAACAGCTATATTTCCTGGAAACTAAACATACTTATTGATCGATTATATTTTTTTGTGTTTTAGATAGAGGATTTACATTGCAACACTGGCATTACCATCAAAGTTCTCATGATGAACAGGTGGCAGTTTATTCGTGTAAAGAATTTTTACAGGGATTCGCTTTTGTGGCGATCATAGATTTTGACGAAATCATCGTTAACGATAAATTTTCAGAATACACAAAAATACTACTGGTAACTATACGTAAAAAGTAGATGGCATGATTTGAGGATTGGAACTGTAATCTTGAAAAAGAGAAAGATAAAGAAAACAAATAAAAAAAGAAGAAAGAAAATTAAACATCCAAATTAGCAGAAAAAGAATAGTTCAAATTTACGAATGTCAGATCTTATATTATATGCGAATATTTTGCTGTAATATAATAATGATTTTTTGGAGAGTTCAATATACACTATTTACCATCATAATGTCTGCTGTTGACGTCTCGGTAGGTTGAGTTCGAAATCTACTGGATAAATGATATACATTTGCTAGTGCAAAATGCTATTCTAACATTAAACAGCTAACACAAAGAAAAATAAATACGCAACCCATGTAAATATACACAAGTCATGTAAAACGAACCATTATTTAAAATCTTAGTCCAATATATATATATATTATCATATAGGAACTCTTTGAAAAAATCATATACATGAAAGAACTGTTAACTATAAAAGAAAAAAAAAAAAAAAAAACCAACTCACGCGAGAACTGACCAAAGTCGATATTGACCTACAATTGGCACCAGAATGCATCTTTAGAATCGATTTTGTTTATGTAGGCATACCACATAATCATTCCGGTAATAAAATCTAACTCTCAGGACGACACAACGATTTATGTAAGTCGACCACCATTGGAAGTGCTTGTATTTTATCCCTTTTATGCATAGGGATTTGTTCTTTATTAATAAACTTAGACGGCATCGCTGGTCATGTGCTAGCATGCTTACATCATGTGCAGGAGGTCATCGGTTCGATCCCAAGCCAGTACAAAATTGGTATTTGCTGCTTTCCGCTAAACCAGCAAAATTTACATGTAGTAATAAGAGCAGAGAAGGGTCAGCTCGATGTCAGAATGATGTACCGGTTAGGACGGCATGCCATCCTGCGGGCGGTTACCTTGTGAACTAGCAAATTAAAATACGACTTAACCTGTTTGTCTAGTACATATTATGGTTCATTTTCATTTCACATTAACATGTTTTCGCCCTGATGTGCATGTGATATTTGCCATTGGAACTTAAACACTCAGTATGATTAGCAGCAGCAGCAGCCCCATCAATTGACTGTAGTTTTTGTCTCGCTTCGTCTCGTCGAAGGAGCGTAGTTGAGACTAATATTTGCCCTTTTTAGCGTTAATATTTGTTATTAAATCACTGTCATAAGTTATTTGTATTCGGGATTTTTGTTTGTAACCATTTGTACATTTGATTTCCATTTATATTACTAGTATTTGGCCCTTCCCCTCAGTCATGGTCCATTGAAAGGTTTGTATAGATTTCATGCTAAAGTTGTGCCATTTAAATTCTAAAATTTGCAATATACTTAAAATTACATACAGGCGAAACATATGCATGCGTCAACATTTCATTTGTTTAATTTGTTGAAGCAACTGAACAAGGGATTTGTATAATGGTACAGTTGAAGTCATCCCTTCGAATGTTAACGAATGCTATAATGATTAGATTGACCATGATGGAATAGCTGTGTAACAAATGACCACTATTATGTTCAACTTATCGTAGACACATTTTCATTGCATTGATTATAATAGAAAATGAAAGGATATGGAGTAAATGTACATGGGACAAAATCGCACACAATACATAGAAAACATAGAAAATTATCAATGAACAGGGCTTCTATTCCTGTTCTTCATCTTGACAGTTGATGTAGGGTCTTCAACAATGAACGAATCATTCATACCCTACAACAAGGTCAAGACGGCCCCTATACCGAATACGACTTATTACCGAACTTTTACTTTTCTTTAGCAATTTAGCGGGTGCCATTGTGGAACAAGAAACGCTAAATTTCCGGTGCATCCAAGGTGTCATTTTGTTTTTGTTTTAGTATAGTTTTTGTTGCTTTTGCTTTAGGTTTCAGTGTTGCATTTTGTGCAACTATATTTTTCGATGTGTGTATTTTTTTTTATACCGGTAACCGTCTTGTCTATTCTTGTTCCTTGAAAAACGGTGAAGTTTGGGGGTTAGATAACTTACTTGACCGACAATTCATGAATTTTGGTTACATGAGAGACATTTAACCAAACAAAATAAACTTTTTCTTATCAGCTGTTATTACTCAACAGCTTAAACGACGGATGTCACTATTGTGTTGTTGTCCTGTTTTAGTAATGATTTGATGGTTTGCCGTTTAACGTTTGATATTGTCAAAACTCGAGTATCTGACGATGATAAATTTGGAAATAGTCGTGCAGTGTATCAGACTAATATCCATATCTTGTTATTGTAAGCTTTTTCATTTGCACGATGTTATGTTTAGAAATGGAACAAGGTATAAAATATTTAAGATTTTAATATACATGTATCTAAAAATGAACAATGAATTATTAAACATGTATATAAGATAACAGAACTGCCCTTTGCAACTTTATTCGGAATGAGAGTGCACAGAATATTATCGTTATTTCTGTTTCTCCTTATTACAATAACGTTGAATTATGGCAGTGATTAACATTCATGATTGTTCAAGCAGCAACTAATTTCAAACGCAACATGCAGGAGTAAGAAGAATGACAGGTTAACAAAATGGCTAAAGTGGTGTGACATGTCTTCCTTCTTACTGTTACCATAAGAACTAGAATTTCTTTTCAAATACGGATCAATGTTTTGTTTTTGGACACAGCATGCTTACGAATCCTCCTTCTCCTCAATTTATTTATCATTTCATTTGTAGTCAGAGATCTTACCGTCTTATCCGGATGCTGCTGCTTTCACACTGAATGTGTCATTCTTTATAACAGACTGGGGAGTATCAGGAGTAGAACCTTTGATAACCAGTAAATACATAAGAAGAACATATCCTCTTCCATATCGATATAAAAATATTTATTTGCCAAACAGAACAGAATCAATTGATACTCATCGAATATGGTCAAAGAGTGGATATAGAAGGTATTTCAATAACTAGAGCACGATAAAAATTGTACGTAGAGCAAACTTCTTTCTAATTTGCTCATTTAATATGTAATGTTACTATTGTTTTGCGATTGACTGGTTAAATTACTTCTTAGAGTTTAGTGTTTGTCAATTTAAAGGCTCTGTACCATTAGATTTAGATGTTTCCTTACTAATTTCGGAAAGTTTAAACTTATCTGCCATAACAGAAAACACATTATTTATAAATCCGGGTATATCTGTCTATACATTACATTGATTTAGTTCCCAATGAAATTTTATTGGAATGTTAAATGGTGCCTTTGGACTCTGCTTATCTTCCAGATGCTTCATCCGTCAATTAGCCCAGTGTTAAAATTTCCCCCAAATGTACACTTATTTTTCTCGTTTTTTTTTTTTGCAAAATGATACATCTTGAGATACCATGACTATTGTTTATCAAACATAGACCAAGGATTACAATCAAAAAGGAAAATATTGATACTCTGAACAAAAATGAAAATATTGACTCTCTGAATTAGCCTGACAAAACAATTGTACGAACTGTACAACCGTTTTAATAGACATTGAAAATGATCAACGTTGAAGTATTAAATCATAAAGGATGCTGTACACACTTGAGCCTATTTGGACCTAAACGTCCGACGATAATCAAGGAACACTTTAGGGCAAACGATACAGTTTTGATCCCACGGTGACTTTTTACGAAAATTTGCAATATGTAATAAAAAATATACCTTTATATGCTAAATTTAGAGATAAATGGTGTCGAAATTTTTTACATTTACTTAAAATTTCGGTTGCTTGAACATTTTTATCCGTTAGGCAGACAGACATACTTAACTTTTTTGTTTCAAACGATAAACACATGCGGATTTTTGTAAAACGATTTGGAATATCTTCATTACAAAAGTATGCTCTTAATTTGTGTAAAAATTCTTTGAAAATAATTTATTTTTATTGAGATTTCATGATTTTAGTTTTTTGCTGCATATTTATCTAATTTAAAAAAAAAATTCATCGGTGATTTTTTCATAAAAAATGGAACAAATAATCTTCATTCAATGTCAAGTCATTTGTCATTTTAAAAAAGAGGGGTCCATGTACTCCTTTTCAAGGTAATGATTAAAAACCCTCGAAAAATGCATCTTTTCCCGATGTGTCGCAGTTTGACGTCGCGAAAAATAACATATTACGTTACCAACGCCATTACCTCCCCTGTAACGGTATCGTATGCCCATAAATAATAATAATTTGTTGCTTCATATCATTTTAAAGCAAGGATTGCTCTGTATATTATTTATCGGCTTCATTAACTTTTACAGTTAACAAATTTTGTGTTCCAATCATGCAGTTTTACTTTATACACTTACTTCAGTATATATTTTATTTGATATAAAATTAACATTCTAAACAATAATTGCGATGTCATCTTGGAGTACATAACAGCAACATGTGATTGTGCATTTTGGAAAATCAATGTATATATTTGATTGTGTGATTATTGGGAAAAGTACATTTTCTTTTGATTCAAGAATATTATATCATTTCTGTAATTTGGTTCATAGGAACACACAAATTAATGTAAACCGGAGGAAAATTCACATTCGAACATAAAACATGTCACTATGTAATATTAGGTGGACTATTAGTAAATCAAGAAAAGCGATTCGGACGCACGAAATTGATATGTGTATTTTCATTTACTAGAAACACTTATTAAAAATGGTATTTAACATCCTAAATTTTACGGTAATATTGTACTAAAAGCGCGGAAATCACTATGTGATCCGTGTAAACTTATCGAACCTCAAACAAACTTATTAGTAAAGGTTATCTTATTAATGTTGTAATAAGATCTTTGAATATTGTTTTCATTGGCACTAACATCGACTTTGTCTTCAACAAATTAAAACATAACTAAATTTGTATTCTTTTCGAATGTTTTTTTGGGATGTATATATACATTTATATATTCTATTTAGAAATTGTTTTATCTATACATAACATCATACATATTTATTATAAGGTTAAATCCTAACTATCCTACTGCCTGTCGTTACTTTAATTTTGGTATTGCACAAGTCATGTCTTCTTTGACTGTCCATAGCGTTAAAACACTAAATCCCTGCCTGGGATGTGTTTTAATTGATTTTAGTCTCTGATGTATGATTTTTTATTATTAATTGTTTTTTGGTTTTTAAGCTTAACTAGCTTTCAGTAATGCGTGTACTCTCAAATCGTACTTTCGTGTTAATTTGACCTGTTGACACAATTTTTAATGCATTTCTGATATTCAATGTTTGCTTATTTTGTGTTATATCTCGTCTTACTATTTTTAATATGTACCACCTTTGAGTATTTAGTATGACGAAAATATTTTCACTTCTGTACTCGTACTATGAATAGCAAATATATTTTGTAAAACATGTTTCTGTACTCCTAACAACAAAATTACTATATTTAAATTTACCTGTGTACGTTATATTAATAAACGCCATTTTGTCCTAGGTTGAAGTTGTCTTTTTGACATTGAAACATCTTTTTTATTTATATTGTTTTATAGATCAAACTTATTCGTTCAGTGTATATTTACTTGTTTTTGTGTATTGTCTTTTTGATCGAGTTAAGCAATTTCAATTGATATTTAATTGTGTGTCTTTTTATGTTTTAATGTTATACCACTGTTTCAGGTTAGGGTGAAGGTTGGCGCCTGTTAAAACGTTTAAACAAGCTGCATTTTTATGCACCTGTTCTAAGTCAGGAGCCTGTTGTTCAGTGGTTGTCATTGTTGGTTTGGTTCATAAGTGTTTCTCTTTTCTCGTTTTTTATATAGATTAGGTTTTCCTGTTTGAAATGTTTTACACTAGTCTTTTTGGGCCCTTTATAGCTTGCTGTTCGGTGTGAGCCAAGGCTCCGTGTTGTAGGCCGTACTTTGACCTATAATTGTTTACTTTTTATATATTGTGTCTTGAATGGATAGTTGTCTCATTGGCACTCATACCACATCTTCTTATTTATATCTTAATATTGTGAATTATTCTTCAAATATTTTAAGTACAAATTGTGCAAGGAAACGAAGAATACTACTTGAATTTTGGAATGTTGGAACAGAGTCAACCCCAAAACAAGATCTAGGGATAAACACTATTAGATGAGATCATAATTGTATTTCCACTCCTAAATAAATATCCTATTGTTAATTATCCATTTGTAGATGGTGACGTTCCCTTGTCACCATCTTATGGTGTTTATATATCTCAACTTGTTCGATTCGCTCGTGTATGTAACAACGTATTTTATTTCAACGAAAGAAATCTCTGTATTACTGAAAAATTATTACACCAGGGTTTTCGATATCACAAGCTAGTCAAAACATTTACTAAATTTTATCATCGGTACAAGGACATCATTCGTAAATATAAATCAACATGCAGACATCTTTTACGTTCAGGTATTTCACATCCAATATTTTATGGTAATATTCTTTACAAAGCACAAAAATGTCGGCATTCACATCAAAAGCTAACCAAACCTTTAAACAGACTTATGCGGAAGGGATATAGTTACGATACTGTTGTCAGATCATTAAGGATTGCATATTTTGGTATTAATATTGATTCACCCATAGGGTCTTTGCATCGGAAATAAACACATTTATTCTAAAACCAGTTGTTGGCCAGATACGGGTTATGTTCTTCTCATATATTTTATGATGGTATGATACTAAACCCCTAACGGGAGGGATTGTACCTGATTTTCATATGATGAAGACATAATCTTTCAATCTGTTTAATTGAGGTCTAGAGCTGGCATGTCAGTAACTGCTATCAGTCCTTTGTTAATTTATGTATCATTGTCATGTTGCTTAGTTTCTTTTGTTACCTATTCTGACATCGGACTCGGACTTTTTTTAAACTGAGTTTTACTGTACGTATTGCTATGTGTTTCTTTATTCTACATTGGCTAGAGGTATAGGGGGAGGGTTGAGATCTCATGTTTAACCCCGCCGCATTTTTGCGCCTGTCCCAAGTCAGGAGCCTCTGGCCTTTGTTAGTCTTGTATGTTTTTTTAATTTTAGTTCCTTTATATGTTTTGGAGTTTAGTGTGACGTCCATTTTCACTGAACCAGTACACAATTTTATTTAGGGGCCAGCTGAGGACCACCTCCGGGTGCGGGATTTTCTCGCTGCGTTGAAGACCCATTGGTTGCCTTCGGCTGTTATCTGCTCTTTGGTTGGGTTGTTGTCTCTTTGGCATAGTCCCCATTTCCATTCTCATTTTAAATCCTTGTTTTGTTGAGTAAACAACCCCCAATTACTTACAACGAAAAATAAAAATGCTAGGCTGAAAGACAAAATTTAATTGTATGATAATTTATTTATTTGACAGAAGATTGTTGTTTAAGAAAGAATTCGGTATAGATAGAAGATGTCATTATATTCAAGAAATTCAGATGATATAGAAATTTAAATTACTGTTCATACTACAAAATCACATACTGGATTCATAAATTATGTTGGAAAAAAATTAAGGTGAAGTATTGCAGTAGTTCGAAAAAGTCAATGAAGGTGGTGTTAAAAATTCGGTGCCTGTTGATCAACGGATACACACTGCGGACGGAGGAACGACAGTAAATAATTAACGACGGACGGCTGAAAGTACAAACGGACACAGCAATTTTTTTGTAGAGATGCGCCAGTAAGCTTGATTCTAAGTAGGACCCCCCAATCAACTTAGATAAAATATGTTCCTCCAGAGGATAACGTTAGATCTAACAAATGTTTTGCTGGTCTATTAAAGTGGTACCATTTGGCTCCTTAACTGAATCTAACTTTCCTACCAAACATCCCATTTTTAAGAAAAATTGCTCTAGCTCTATTTTTAAAAACAAAACTGAATACCCGTAAATATAGTTTATTTTGATTTCTGAATTCCCTATCATAACACCAGACTAGTTACTAAGAAATTTTTTTATCAATTGCTGATATTTCATATGATTTTGAAATGGGATAGCAGGATTGAAATATTCTAGTTTTAACAAAACCAATATTGAACGTAATTTTTTGTGCTATCTGAGAAACAGATATTTCGTAACGGTCAAATAAAACACGACGTTGTCTGCTAATTTTCGAATAAATGACAATAGGTTCCTTGTCAGATACAAAATCGATCAAGGTCATCATTAAAAAAAAAGGCTGACCATGTGATGTTGCATTTGTTTTAACAAAGAAATGAAAAATTCACAAGCGAAAACATTGAATTAATTTCATTTTTCAAGTTTGGTTCTCAACTGATTCAAATTTGTAAATATATATATATAAGTCAATATATGAAGCAGACTTAACTATCTAAATGAACGGTCTCATAAAACAAACGAAATTCATGACAAGCAACAAAATATCCTTTACTTCAAATTTAATGGAATAGACGTGCCAACATAGTCATCAACCTTTGAACTTTCAGTGAGAGAACATCATCTTCATGTTTATACTGAAAAGTTGCAGATTCACATATTTTTTTTTGTCATGTCGTTAAATGAATATGTTTGGTGATGAGTTTTGTAAAATATTCACAGCATTGTGAGCAAGAAATCTGAGATTGTAAGATATTTTTGTAACATAAAATAACTATATATATTATAAATGATGCCTACAGTAATGTATAGAAGTATCATTATAAACGATTATGTTATAAATATTTGCATTAGGAGCGATTTCAAAGTTTGAACCATCATATTGTAACGTTCCAGGGTTTTAGAGTCAAGATAAAAAATCAGATGATATATTGATTTGTATTAAATGCTACTTTAGTAACACAGGCACTTGTTTCGGAATTTATTTGTATCCATATTCTTTAATATAACACATGGTACCTAACTCGTATTTTTGAGAAATGTCACTCGGTTACGAACTTCCTTTATATTTTAATTCTGGGGTTTTCAATCCAACTGAAACATAATATGTCGTAAATTTACAAAATGTGCATAACACGCCTAATTCAGTTGTCAGAATCATTCATAGCAGACCTTCCGAGTATGTGAACCGTAAATTATTTCGTCTTCTCACAGCCAAATGGCAATGTAAATTGCAGTGAATGATAAATTATAAAAAAAAGTATTCCCCCCAAACCACTCCTTCCATAAAAATACCATACGAGGCGTATCAAGAGACATCTACATGGAGAAGTGTGGAACGGAGACTACAACTAGAAAAATACACACAATGAGCTTTTACGAGTTTCAGTTCGTTATTACCGGAGCATAACAGTATTAATATTAATGTTAACGCCTTTAGGTACCAAGCAGACGGGCTTGATGTTCAAAATTTCAAGATTTTTAATTTTGATTCCTCGAAATTCCATTTACAGCATTTTGTTTTACAATGATAAAGAGTATTTCAAATCATTGTGAACATTTCCAGTTTAATTATTCAAAACATATATAGCAATTAAGGGGTTACCAGATTCGTCTGCGTAACGTTGTTTGATTGACAGATTGATATTTTAGTTTTGTATACATGATTTGTTTTATAAGTTGTTATTGGCTTTGAACTAGCTGTCAGTAATCGCGAGTACACTCAGATCTGTACTTTGTGTCTTTTCTGTTGTTGCCACGTCCGGTCAATGTTTTTTGTTAGATGTTTTTCTCTTTTGTATCGATCTGATGAGTTAAGCCCTTTTAAACTGTTTTTTTATAGTTCGTTCTTATGTTGTACTGTTAAATTTTGGATTCTGAGGGTCACCTAAAGTGAAGGTAGGGGTAGTACAGAACTTAAGTATAAGTTTAAAATCTTCGAAGTTCGGGGAATATAAATGTTGAAAATATGCCGCACAGCCTTATGTTTTGACCTTTGAATAAAATAGTAGTGCATATCAACTTTCCATTCTAGGGTATAATTTTTCACGAAACTTCATAGTAAAAGTGGCACAGTTTTAGCCGTAAAGGGAGTTCCTATGGGAAATTGCATTGTCTATATTTACAGAAATGCTATATTTGTTGAAAAAAGGGAACATGTAGAATTTCACCAAATCTGGTTTATCTCATAGATTTTAATGAAATTATAAAGTTTTATAAATATTTCATGAAGATTGAGAAAATCCTAGGCTTTAACTATGATGACTCAGCATAAATTCTCAGTTTACAATATGCATAGTTTACTTTAAGCCCTGAATGCAAAGTAAATTCATAGTATATGCACATTTGTGATTTAAATTGTTTAGAAGTGCTTATTTTTACTCTTCGCAGTCATTGAAACTCATAGATCATTGATAAATATTGTTGTTGGGGTGTTTTTGTCCTGTCGACAACACAAAAGTAAGCCGTAACACCTAAATGTGCTTTCTTGCGACCGCGGCATAAAAAATACAAGCTAGAAATACAAAAATACCTCAATAAAACTAACAATAGTGTGTTATATCCTAAATATGTACATAATATTCCATATTCACAGAAACAGCCAGCAGAATTTTTTTAGCAAATTTAGGCCCCAGTGGCAAAAAAAAAGAGAAAAATGCCTACCCCCTGGGTCATAAAACAGATAATTTAACCTGTAAATGCTATGATTTTATCATTTTAAAGGTCTTTTGTATAGAAAACAATGACTGTGCTTGGAAGTTATGCAAAAAAAAAAGATGTAAGCAGTCAGTTCTATAAATTTTTTAGTGAATTCACACATACAACTTTTGCAAATATGGCTCTGTTTAAACACTTCTAGTTCATATATTAGCTAAATTATGTTAGATATATGGTGAGAGATGATATTTTTGTGACAAGATTTCTAAAATGACTATTTGAGGCAGAAGCTGTAAACTTATATTAATAAATAGGCATACAGTAAGATGTGGAATGGAGACAGATGCAGGATTGGATACTTTATATGATCTTGAATGTTGGAATTAATAACTACTAAACTTTACATTTATAGTATTCTGAAATGCTTTCAATTTGTTATCAGAGCAGTTTCAAACAGGTTCTAGACATTACATGTCAGAAAACATGCACATAGGTTAAGCTGACAATAATTAAAGAAACAGGGGTAGGGGGTATAAAATGTACTATAAAAGAAAAGTTACAGTATATGCAGTGATTTTTTTGGGCTAACATTCTGACAAATAACTATTGTTTAGAGAAAAAGTGTTTTTCAAGATTTTTTCTATTTGAATAAATGTTAGTATAGGTTGCACTTTGTAAATACAGCTGTTTCACAAACCACGCCTCTTTCGGGGAGATATATAATATTCATAGATATTTTTTTTGTTTACGTACTGGTTCCCAGATATGATCTCTATGTTTCATCTCATAGAGACATAACTTGGGAATGTTACCAGTATATTTACACATGGTTGCAGGAAATTTTGGATTCTGAGGGTCACCTAAAGTGAAGGTAGGGGTAGTACAGAACTTAAGTATAAGTTTAAAATCTTCGAAGTTCGGGGCATATAAATGTTGAAAATATGCCGCACAGCCTTATGTTTTGACCTTTGAATAAAATAGTAGTGCATATCAACTATCCATTCTAGGATATAATTTTCACGAAACTTCATAGTAAAAGTGGCACAGTTTTAACCGTAAAGGGAGTTTCTATGGGAAATTGCATTGTCTATATTTACAGAAATGCAACCTTTATGCGCCTGTCCAAATTAATTAGCCTGCAATTCTGTGGTTGTCGTTGGTTCATGTCGGTCATATTTGTTTTTCGTAAATTGTTTTGTTATAATTTTGGCCGTTAGTTTTCTCAATTGAATTGTTTCGTATTTGTCATGTCGGGGCCTTTTATAGCCGACTATACGGTATAGGTTTTTTCTCATTGTTGAAGGCCGTACGGTTGCCTATAATTGCTTACATCCACTTCATTTGAACTTGGGTGGATAGTTGTCTCATTGGCAATCATACCACATCTTCTTATTCTTAAATTTATGAAACTAAATCATGCCATAATGATAAAAGTAAGAACTGGTTTAAATAACATATTATCCCTTTTTACATAATGTCATATTTTGTCTCAATTAATTGACAATTATTTAGTTTATATTTTTTTTTCATGCTTCAAAAAAATGTTCTTTAGTGCATTTTGGTAAAGTCTTATTCGGTTAGTTATGTTATTCCTGCAAACAAAAGTCCGACATTCCAAAAAGGAATGCTAACATCATACGCTCTTTTTCTTATTAGTTTCTAAAAATTTAGGTAAGACGCTACAAAGGCTACGAATTTAGAAAGTTTTCTTTGATTAAATTTCTATTGCATAACAACGTATTGTTTTTTTCTCGTTACAGGATCTCACTACAATCTCACAATGTTATCCTACATCACTACAGAGATTGCAATAAATTGGACATGTTTCCGGGTGACTGCATGTCATTTCCAAAATATACAGATACTAAAATGATTAAAATAATGCCAAAATTATATGACAGAGTAGTTGCTGCTAAAAAGAGATGTAAAATATAATTTTTTTTTATGCATTTCATAGGATGGAGGGTATTAAACGTTAACCTGGATTTTTTTTTGTTATGCTACAAGTAATCATCTTCATCAACACTCGTTTCCAAGGCAGAAAAAGACATGTTTTCCAGTCGATTCGGTGGTTGATATAGTCGGGGTTTGAACTTGTCATGTTTTATGGAATTCCCTTTCTGAATTTACCTTGAAATTCGGTATTTTTGTAAATACATTTTTTACATAAACGTACAATTGACGACGTATATCAATTAATTAGTACATTTTGCGAAAAATAATATACATGACATATGGCGAACGAGAAATACAATGTCAGAAATATTCTCGTGGCATCTAAGCGTATAAAATTTTGCAGAACTGATTTTTATCTTTATTCGTGTTTTTCAGTTTTTACAAACATCTATTTGATCCATAATGTTCAGTCCTAATATGGAATATATTGATCTGAAAGCGAGAACCCCGACATCGTTGAGACTGCGCACTAATGTTTTGCTAACAGTTGGAAGACTCGATATCCTTTCCACACCCACGACTCGAGACGAAGCCATAAACAAGGAAGACTTATCGGAATCTTCAGACATATCGGATGAAGACAAGTCAGATGGAGAAAGCTTTGACCCCATGAATGACGGAGAGGATCTTAAAGCTTGTCAGACATGTGGGCTGGTCTTTGTCTACCTCCGAGGCTTTAACGAACACATACAAAAAGGTGGGATCAACAAATCAATCGAACTTCCAATGTCGGGAAGGCACTCGAAAATGTCTTGAACGGCGTGTCTGTCACCGTTGTCTGTGCAGACGACTTACCAGCATACGTGATGGATAGACCCAAAACGTTTGTTGTCTATACGGACAATTGTGACAAAAATGGGAGTCATTGGGTTGCCTTTCATTTTCCGGCATCGGATACAGCCGAATTTTTAGATTCCCTGGGACAACCACCAGAGATGTATCAACGAAGTTTTAGAAACGTCTTGATTGCAAACGGACCACAATACTGTTATTCCCCTTGTCCGATACAACCCAGTGATTCGGAAACGTGTTGACTGTATTGTGCTTATTACGTAAAAAAGCGATGTCGAGGTGTTGATATGTCGGATATTATGAAGGACTTTTCGACAGATGACTTGCAGGACAACGATAGAAAAAGCATTGCTCAGTTTCAATAAAAAAAAAAAAACACGGATACATGTGTAGTGCCTCATTAAAATAAAGAAAAAGAAGACAGAAATAATAAAATGACAAAAGAAAAGTCTTAAACCGCCTACACTTAAATGTAGGAGGTCTCAAGTGTTGAATCAAATCTTACTTAAATCTGAAAGCGAGAGATAGATTTTGCAGTTCTATAGATGTAAAGATCGATATAAAATTGATATGGATGGTTTATAATAATTAACTTATGACAGTATCAGATGTTATGCATACACGTTTGATTTATTCTGTATAAGAATTTGATTGATTGATTTTGTAAGTCCATGACATATATTAGAATATGTTTTAATCCTATCAATTTATTTGAATTGATTAAACACGATTTAACTCGATAGATGGATACATTGATTGATTTTTTAAGGCCAGTGACATATATTAGAATATGTTTTAATCCTATCAATTTATTTGAATTGATTAAACACGATTTAACTCGAGAGATGGATACTTCATTTGTTTAATTTACATAATTCTATTTACATTTATAAACTCTTTATTTGGATAGATAGGCTACTATTACACACATATAGAGTAATTAGAATATTATCGTAACGTAATTGGTAGCTATTAAAAATCTCCATAGATAAAATAAGGTTATAAAAATCATACTAAATACTTTATCAAACCTGATTTTTATGTAGGATTATCACACACAGAATTTATTGTATTCAAATAAGATTGAAATAGATGATAAAATATCTACCAAAATGTAAACAATTAAATGTTAAAACACGTAAAAACAACAATTATTTAGAAATGAAATAACAAAATACACATTTTCTCTATTTAGAATTCTAAAAGTGTTGGGTTCGTGTTTCTCAATCTTAGGTTTTCTATGTAATATTTTATTATTGTTATCTGTCCTTTTTGTCCTTTTTATTTTTGGTTATGGTGTAGTCTGTATTTATTGGACCTATTATTTTCGAATGCTACCTTGGTATCTTCTTTCTCTTTATATATTTATCAATTATGGACTTTACACGAGATAAACACGTTATATAAGGACCTGTTCAGATTATATTAACCGAGGACGAAGTTATATTCATATGTAACACTCAGAAGCGTGTCCATTCCCCAAACCAGTCAGATTCCCCTAAACGTGTCCATATGACGTCACTGAACTGCTAAACACATCTACACATGTGCCAAAGGGCATCAACGCGTGTCCTTTTATGAATGCTTAATCGTGCCCATCTAATAAAAACCACCAAACGTGTCCACATGAGACCAAAACGTCTCCTTTTTATGAACGCTCAGTCGGGTCCATATTTTAAAAACACACAAACGTGTCCACCTTTATAAAATAGTAATTTGTAATCACATATGTTGATTTTAAAATACAAATTCAATCGATATTGTTACAGGAACCTTAGTTTTGTTTTTATGTTGTAAAATAAGAACCGTTACTCTATGAAAGCCCAGACACCTTTTTTTTTTAAACATATAAGGTCAACATCGCCTTTGAGACTAATATTCAAAAAGTACATTTTAACATGCAGTGGTACCCCGACCCAAACCTATTATGTACGATTGAATATTTTTCAGGTTTGATGTAGCAGGAGTGTTGGACTTTGCTTTAATTTAAAATGAGGTTCGAATCAAAAGCAAATGGGAGCAGTTTTTTAATTATAAATAGATAATGTAGTGGAAAAAAATGTAATTTATGTGCATTGAAATCCAACTAGTGCTGGCCTCTCAGTTGATTTGTTTTTTGCTTCCCGGAAAATTAAACAAAAATGGTTAGTATTTTCTATCTGGTTGAATTTTAGTATTGTTTTCATATAGAAAGTAGTTTTTGATCTATTTGCTATTCTTATTTTATGCTCTGTTTTTTTTTTAATTGATAGTGCTGTTTTTGTTGGCCGAATGTATATGTTATGCTATTTATTTTGCTCTTTGTCGACGATATGAGTCATTTTTTTTTATTAACATGATTATGCTGCATGCATTTATGAAAATTTATATAGTGCTCTTATATATATATATTTATCTTACCTCCTATACATTTTTAGGAATATGATTGGTTAAAAGCAACCACGTGGAGACCGTATATATTTCATATGGGGTTAGTAGGCGTGGTTTATTTCAATACACGATTAGAAGTGGTGTTACGTCCCTTTGTAAAAACAACACGGTGTTGATGAAAAATCTGTAAGGTTTCAACAGACGAAGAAATTGATGATGAACAATTGAAATAAATGCAGAAAACACATTAAAAGCTAACAAGTTGTTATTGTTGGCATTTGTTTGTGTATAGACCAATGGAAGTAGGGTCTTAATATTGAAGACTTGATCACTTTGATAGGCCACTATCCATATGGAATTTACTGACCCCATATATATCATATTTGGTCATTAGCACACTATGTAACTAATAATATATATATGCAGAGGTTTAATATAGCTGTAAAGATCATGTTACATTTTGATTTGCACACATGTTTCGACTCTAAATAAAATTTTCTTACTTTCTTACTTTCTTTCTTGCTTCCTTACTTATTACTTACTTTCTATGTGACATAATTTTTGACAGAAATATCTTACCTAATGACTTTTTTTGGTAATAAACCACTTGAATTGACCTTACCAACATGCACAATATTAGCTGATTAACAATTCAGATCACAGTTACTTCTGTGAAGCAAGGGTCTTGAGGTAAATTTCTGGTTATTTTAGCATTAATATGAATATGAAAGGTTTAAGTTTTTTGGCTAAGCACTTGGAAATAATACAAATGTCGTTCAGTGTTTTGGACCAAAACTCAGCTGCATACAATGCAAATATAAGAATGTGTAGATAGATGTGAAATATAATTGATACTTTTTGCTGTTGAACATAAAAAACAAACCTGCGTACATAGAGTCACTGTGTAGTTGGTGACGTCTGGGTCCGATCATAACGTATAGTGCGTGACTTCGGCGTCTACTGACTCATAAATGTATACAAAATTGGTGTCATTTGAAACAATTTGTCTACTAGCAGTAAATTGGACGCGATAGTGAATTTATGAGAGAAATGGAAAACAAAATATTTTTAAAAATCGACCGTGTCCTAGGGAGCATGAAATTCATGTAATTCAAAGACAAAAGCAAGTTTCTACATACGATACATAAAAACAAAATATTGAGAATTATGAACTTAAACAAATTGCTCATATGTTCAAATCTATTCTACTAAAATAACGAAGTCCAATTTGATAGCCGGCATGACGTAAAAACGACGAATCAAACAGTTCAACTTTATACATAACTAATATAGGACAATGGTGTTGTTTAAAAACTACACCTTTCCAGGCCATTATGTTTTTCCTCATAATTAATATTACCAATAATTCACACGTTCCGGGTCGAATCCGATACCAATAGTATATGTCACATATTGTTTCCGGTTGTAGTTCCCTGTTACATTCTGTAAATCCTTCCTCTATCAGGAGAACCTGGAATTCTTCCAGTAGTTGTTTTATATTTATACTACAGCATAGTTCACTATCTAACAAGTATGTTTTCTTCCACCTCAATAACACTTGATTTTGGTTAATTTGTTAAAAAAATAAATTTAGGTTAAAGTCAGTTTATTGTAGTAAGAAAACTAGGACGGGTTCAAACAGAAAGATTTTGAAATTAGAGAAGAGAAAACTATGCACCTTACAATCAGCATGACTTTATCAGATGACGATACGAGTACTAAAAATCTAGGCTAAAAATAAGGCATAGGTACATAGGTACTTTAATTCAGCCACAGACCCGCGATGTCGCGAGTGTGTTCTTGTATAATTAAAAAAATAGATGTTGTCCGTACTAACGAAATAAAGTCTTTCAAGAGTGCGACCCATTTCCAATAAAAGCGAAGGAAAAAATATTGAAAAATAATGTAATCACAGAAAAACACAATGTCGCGGGTGTCTTCTAGTATAATTAAAAAAAAGATGTTGTCCGTAGTAACGAAATAAAGACTTTTGTGCGACACATTTCCTATAAAAGCGATGGAAAAAATATTGAAAAATAATACAATCACAGAAAAACACTACACAATGTCGCGGATGTGTTTTACCATTAAAAAAATAGATGTTGTCCGTAGTAACGAAATAAAGACTTTTGTGCGACACATTTCCTATAAAAGCGAAGGAAAAAATATTGAAAAATAATACAATCACAGAAAAACACTACACAATGTCGCGGATGTGTTTTACCATTAAAAAAATAGATGTTGTCCGTAGTAACGAAATAAAGACTTTTGTGCGACACATTTCCTATAAAAGCGAAGGAAAAAATATTGAAAAATAATACAATCACAGAAAAACACTACACAATGTCGCGGATGTGTTTTACCATTAAAAAAATAGATGTTGTCCGTAGTAACGAAATAAAGACTTTTGTGCGACACATTTCCTATAAAAGCGAAGGAAAAAATATTGAAAAATAATACAATCACAGAAAAACACTACACAATGTCGCGGATGTGTTTTACCATTAAAAAAATAGATGTTGTCCGTAGTAACGAAATAAAGACTTTTGTGCGACACATTTCCTATAAAAGCGAAGGAAAAAATTGAAAAATATAATCACAGAAAAACACTACACATAAAGAAAATATATACGGACCCATATTAGAATAAATTTATTTCAATCATATACTCTTGCACTAAATTTTATTTTTCTATTTTACCCGAGTCTACAAAATCACTGAACTTTCCATGTGATGTATATTATTGATCAGCTTAAACTCTGTTAAAACGGATTTTTCGAACCAATCCCGTTCTAACCTGCATGATATTCTAAGATTTGCTTACAAACACCAAACGTGACTTCAGTTATTAGTGTTGGACCTTAATGCATACGTTTCATATACATGTAACATTCAAATGAAGCATGTTATGTACTAAAGATCCTTTGATGATTCTGTCATCAATTGAAATAGCTATCTTTTTTGAAAGGATCATGACGACAACGTATTAGTTTGTAATTAGTATTATAACAACTTGAACAAAATGTTCCATTCATTGATCACAAAACTTGATCATACAGCGTGGTGAGGATCTCGCGAAATGATTGAGTCTTGTCGTAATTAACAAGGTCTGTTAAAATTACTATAATTTACAATGGAAGACTATTTAAAAATTAAGGAAAGGCAATTAATTGGAACTGCTATGAGTTTTGCAACAAAGACACCGATGATTATATAAAAAGGCTTGACGTATTGATCTACAACAAATTTATTGAGTTTGGTGGATTGATATATCAACAGACAGTCGGTATTCCAATATGTTATAAGTGTGCAACCTCATGGCTGCCTTGTTTTTTGATGTCATATGAAGCAGAATATACACAGAACCTAATCGAAGACAAAAAAAAGCTTGCAAAACTCTGTTAAAAGTAAAATAACAAAAATACCGAACTCAAAGGAAAATTAAAAACGGAAAGTTCTTTATCAAATGTCAAAATCAAAAACACATCAAACGAATTGAAAACAACAGTCATATTCCTGACTTGGTACAGGCATTTCCTTATGTAGAAACCTATTGTTTCCATTTGTATTAGAACAAAACATATACCTTAAATTTAAATTGAGTTAACCAACAAGAAAGAATCAACTTTCCTAGATTGAAACACATGAAAAAAAAGTTCACAAAAAATGATAATAACACTTTATTAATTCATGCGTCCGATGCGCTTTTTTTTTTAATTTATCTACATCAGGAATGCCCAAAGTCGAATATTTGAAAGCCAAAGATGTAAGAACCGAAACATTTGAAATGCTTTATGACTAAACAGGACATTAAAAAAATAGCCAAATCCATATAAGGTCAACTTTGCCTTAGGGTGTTGTAACCTAAGTTTCCTTAATAATATATAAATTCATAAACGGACAATTCAAGAAAGGTTTGTTATAAATCATGACAGTACCAAAGTTGAGAGTCCACCGACAGCGGTATCGAATCTATGCTGTAAAAAATGAAAACAACACTTTAAAAATTTCATGCGTCTAAAGCGCTTTTCTGGATTTACCTTCATAAACATGCCTTTCAATAATAAGCATCATTGTAACTTCTTAACCCCAGCCACACTACAAAAGGGAACACATACACATACGATTTTGTACTAGTAAAACTAATGTGTTACTAAACTTGGCCAATATTAAAAAAATCTCAAAAAGGAAAAACATATCATTTCGCCACACATATTTTGAGTCAAAATGATGGGTACTGATATAAAACTTTATTCTAGGATTTCAAAAGTAGTTATATTGTATAAAATGCACATAACTTTAGTTCTTTTGTATTATAACCTTTCGCAATGATTTATTCAATTTGAAACATCAGGACTCAAGTCGCGACAAATATGTTATGGTGAAAGATTTAATTTTCCTTTTTGGCTGTTAATTGCCCAAACTGTAAATGGGAAACTTTTTGGTTTAGTTTGTACTGTTTATAAAGTAAGTCAATATTTGAGCAAACTAGAAGGATTTTCAGTGTCAATGGTGTCCATCTAAGGAAAAAAGAAGCCCAGTTGAGGCTAAATTTAAAGATTTTTTTACATGTTTGCCAGTTGATGCAGCAAATATTTGAATAGTGCTTCATTTTATAGATTCTATCTTTTTTATATTAAATATATTTAATTTTTCATTTTCTACATTTTTAAAGGCTATTTTTGGAAATCAATACTTCCAACGGGTATAATTCAGGTTTTTTTTTATAGATGAATACAGGAAACAAAGCAATTTTACAGCTGTGGGCTTTGCATATTTAATGTTGGAAGTGTCTAACATCTGTGTATTCATCATTTCTAGATAAAATAATTCATTGTATAATACACTATGAAATTTTGGACCAAAATATGGTATATCCTAAAGCACGGAATGGAGATTTGTTTGAAAAATCTTGATTTTGTGCTCATGTTGTATGAATACAAATTGAATTTTTATCTGTTTAAATGACTATTCTTTTTGAATAAGATAAAATGTGATTGGATACATTTTTTAATGTATTCATGAATAAATGCAGTGTGTATATTTGCATATAAAATTTTGAAACACATTGAAATATTTTCTTGAGAATTATTCGATAAGGCTTCCAAGTTTTCATAAATTTGAAGTAAAATGACGATGGCCATATACAATTCGTGGAATTCAATGAGCTCAATATTGTTGATATATCATAATATTTCACTATTTTTACTCAGCAAAATGTCTCTACCAAGTCAGGAATATGGCAGTTGTTTCAATGTGTTCCATTAAATGATATATCCGAGCGTTTGATTTTGTTAGGTTTATTGAATTTCCCGCTATTTTTAAGTTTACTTTGGAGTTTGATATGTTTGTTAATGCTTTTTTATGATACTATTGCCTCGTCACAATATATATGCATTAATATTTAACCGGGGATGAAGAAAGATATATTTCAAAAACCTATTGGTGCAGAAATGATAAAAACAAACTATAACATTTTTAAATTGAATAAAAGAAATGAAATGTAATCAATAAAACAAACTACATAGACTTATATGATGTTCCGTTCATTAATCATTACATGTCGCAAAATGAAATTTATTCAACAATATTTTCAAATATTTCCATGAATTCCATTGTACGAATTAAACAGGTATGTATTAAAATTTATACAACGTTTGGAAAAATAGCAGTACAATTCCATGTTATTGACAAAAAATAAATTATCTTCATGTACTGTTTATGACATTGCTGTATTAAATTTAGTATGGAGTATACACGCCGATTTATAACATAATATGTGTAGGACGGCATAATTTCATACCAAAAGGCTGATTACTTCGAGATACCCTTCAGTAACTAGTATATTGTATAATTTAACATGATTTATAACAAAACTTCCTTAAACTGACGTTTACAGATTGAGACATTACTAAGAAACTAAGGTTTCAACTCACTCAGGCAAAGATGACCTTAGATATACATGATGTATTTGGCTATTATTTCAGGTTCTTTTTGGTCATATAACTCTTCACATGTTTCAGGTCTTTTACACACTCGGCTTTCAAATATTCGCCTTTGGGTGTTCCTGATGAATGTTTAACCAGAAAAGAGCCGTGGGTGCATGCAATTTATAAAGTGTTGTTTTCATGTTTCATACTTCATTGTTAAGTTTGTCTCTGATCTTTATATTTTATTCATTTAGTATAAAGGTTTTTCTGATTTTACTTTCACCTCATGATCTTCTATGCACCTTTTGTATCTACTCTTAGTATGAATTTCATAACAGCGTGGACATAGACACATAGTAATTAAATGTTATCGTGTGTATCACTGGCTGTCGACAACAAAGACTTCACGCAATTACAGTTTGTCAGGGGCATCTCAATGGGGATATACATAATTACTATCTTTACACATGTCCATTCATAAAATAGAAGTTTTTGCATGAAAGTTTATAGGAATTTGTTTTGAATATATTTATATACTCATAACAAAAATTTCTTTTGACAGAATGAGTATATTCAGAGGTGATATCACCAAGTAATCGAGAAAAAAAAACGTAATGTTTTTACTTGCACAAACGTTCTGTGGCTCCTTAAAAAAAATAAGAAAACATTTACTCGTACGAGTTGATGTAGAGTAATCTACGATCAACTTTCATTCTAATATTATTTTTGTTGGTAATAAGAACCCCGGACCTTCATAAATAATCATTTTAGTCCTCTGGGCTGCATATTTTTTTGCATGGAACAAATTTGAATTCCCATCGAAGACTCCAACGATCAGATTTTGGTGAACATTTAAATATCTTTCTAACAAAAAATAACTCGTGAAAATATCAAGAAGCATATGAATCCGGTCATATGAGCAAAATTTACGTTGATTGGAGTCAGAGTAGCTTTTGTGGAAACATTGATATTTATTTTAGATTTTGTTATACCTGAACACGTATAACAAAAGTTAAGGGATCTATATTTTTTACTTATAGGTTAGATAATACTTGGTCATGTTTTATGAATATTTAAAGCTCGAGGCGTAGCCGAGGGTTTTATGTTCATAAAACATGACCAAGTATTGTCTGACCAATTTAGAACATATTCACACCTTCGAGTGACATAAAAAAAATTAGTCGCTCCCATTGTAATACTTTAACCTGAATATGAGCTCACTTTAAGCGTTAACATGGTAGGTAAAATGTATGTAAATCATATTAAATGGTCATTCCAACAGATGGAATGAAATAGCAATGCGATAGTTTTGTGATTCAAAAATGAAGATTTCTTCTGCTTCAGGTATAGCTTAATACTTATATATCTAAAATTCCTTCATTTTAAAAGGACATAATGTTATATAAATGAGCTTTTCTAAAATTGTATAATTTTTGAATAATGACAAAACTTCATCAATGATTTTCAAAATTACAATCGTTTCAACATCAGATGCTTATTTTTTTTTATTGATGAATGTGTTGGGTTTTTTTTATCAACAGTCATTGTTTCTTAAAAATCCATTGATTTTAATGTTTCGCATAAGAATAATATTAAATATCGTTTTACCTGCATATTTGTCCACTTTTCAATTCTTTTTGTCATTTTTATTTGGGGGGAGGGTTCAATATATGTATCATTATATAACGTATAAAATGTTTCTACTCTCCAGTTTTTATTTTTAATAACTAGACAAACAACAGCACTCATGTACTCAGGTAATTTCAATGAATTTGGTCTTACTCAACTATTTTTTTTGTTAATTGAGGACGAATATTTGAGACAATTCTGCATAAACGTTTATTTTATTCATGCTGATTTCAAAAGCCTCTTGCATAGCCACCCCCTCCTTTATTTTAACAGAACCAGGAATGGTTGCCATCTTTCAATTTAAAATTGTACTCACTTCTTTTTCGGTTTCTGTGTTTCAATATCTATCCACGAATTTAATATGCTCACAATACATATGTTTTGGAATAATAAATCATGTACACAAGACTAAACTGGTCAACTATAACACGAGATAATTTACAGGTTATTATGTCAACATAACAATGTAATATTATTATACTTCATGTCAAAATGCCAGATTTTGATTGGTTAATACGAGGGGGACAATTTACTCTATCCCATGACAAATACTCTATTACCCTTCACGGAGACGCTTGCTCAAGTGTGCGCTTTAATAAATACGGATGATTGTTATGTACAAGACGACATAGTTTATTACTTCGAATTTGAAATTTAATAGACAGTAATAACAGAACATTCATTATAATAAATTAAATAACAATTGACAATGTTTTCTCGGGGTAAAAATCTGCTCTATCACCCTCTCAGCTATGTGTTATTTAAAAAGTAAAGAAAATATTTTTTACGAAAATTTTTTATATATTTTTCTTTCGTTTTATTCATCATGTTGAAAATACTCTTAAATCATAGTTATTAGTTTTAAATATATATAGTATTTCAAAGTATTGTTGGATTTTTATATTTGTATATATTTTGTGCAATGTGTCTCATAAGCCAAATTGATATGGCTGGGTATTGATTGTTCTATGTATGTTTTAATGTTATTGTATAATATGTATGTCAATCAATATGTGACACAATAATAAAATAGATTATTTTTTTTAAATAATAACCTTTAAACTGGGTGCACTCGTTTAATTATTCTAGTATAAAAGGTATTGAGAACATATTTAATTCATGGATAGATACTGAAACACAAATTAAAAATATTAATAACAATTCTAAACTAAATCGCTGTGATCCGTCCAATCGTTTTTCAAATCAACAGAACAGCTGTATTTAACAGGTCGGACACATTTCCTTATACGGACATGTATTATTTAACATACTTATGCCCCCGTCAATGCATGTACTAGTGTTTGTTTACAAATAAAGCTTTTTTTTTGGCGATTGACCAATCCACTGAATGATTTGCAATGCATTACTTGCCTAAAACAGACACACTACTTAATTTATCACTTATTGCCAGAAAAGAATTTTTCTTACTTTTTTCTCTTGATTACTTTACTCTGAATATACTCATTCTTTCGAAAGAAACTTTTTGCTGCCAGTATATATATATAGATATATTCAAAACAAATTCCTATAAACTTTCATGCAAACAGAATTATTTTATGAATGGACATGTGTAAAATAGTAATTATATATATCCCCATTGAGAGGCCTCTGACATACTGTAATTGCGTGAAGTCTCTGTTGTCGACAGCCAGTGACCGACACGATATCATTGAAATATCAGGTGTCCATGTCCACACTGTTATGAAATTCATTCTATCAGTATTAAAAACTGGTAGTGTTTATGTACCTTTCAAAGTAAAAATGATTGTAAGTAGTTCCCTTACAAATGTAGATGGTTATAGCGTTGTTGTCATTTACATAAAACAAAAGTCATTAGAAAAGATCTTTGATAGGATTAAGATAAAACTAAGATACATTGGACGATAAAAAAAGAAATCAGATGACGGAAACTAAATGTTTGACTGCGGTATAGAAAAATGATCATCCCTCGAATTTGTCTTAAAAGGGATGTACATATACGCTGCAACGTTCAGTTGGAATGGGGATGGTTAATCCGATCATTCGTACACGGTAAATGCTCATACAGAACGCTAGCAACATTTCTATGAGGGGTCCGTAGGTGGCTTTTTTCAAGACAAAATGTTTGCCCCTATTTCATACATTCTTATTTTTCCATTTGCAGTTGAAATTTCTGGCCATTCAACCCGATGGACTTACCTATTATATTTATTTCTAAAATGTTCGGAACATTCCTTAAATATTTTGCCACTGTATGTTTATAAAGTAGGATTCATTCAATCAGATGACAGGCCTGTGCCCTTTATTCTTGCAAAGATCAAAAATCAAAAACTAATATATATCTATATCATTATATTATATGGGTTTTAGTTTGATTCTATGAAACTTTATTTTAATGAATTAAATTTATTTCATAATTATCATTCCTTTCATAGAAAAGAGCAATCAGAACCCTACAATTCCGACCAAAACATTGCAAAAAAAAAAACAAAAAAACATAAAACAAAAACGACAGGAAAATGAACAATTGGAAACACTTTACACAAAATAAAATTAGGCAATGCAGGTAAATAGAAAAGTGTTAAGTAACAAAGGAATCACCATAAAGATGCGTCAACACATAAAACAAAATTGCTGGACATAAGGAGGAGGCATACGAACGACATTGTCAACAAGACATCTCGAGGTCAAAATACATAAAAATAACTATATAATATTTCAACTTTCAAATCTCACCGAGTCTAGAACATGTGTGGATGAATTCTTAAGAATTTAGTTATAAATTGATTTACATTCAACATGTTCACGGCCGTCCGATTCACTGAGTGTCAAATAATACTTAGTAAACAATTAGGTACTAGTAACTACCATTTTGCAGCTTAAAGCCTCTTATGAACATTTGAAGGTCCCTATTATAATTGGCTTCTTAAAATACACAAAAAAGACATTAAATATGGTTACCTCTCTGCTTCTAGTAAATGTTTCACTACTAATCTCTCTGACTTTTGAAATAAAGCTTTTAAAGTTAATAGTACTAATTATTCTTTGAGTGTTAACATCTTTTTGGATGTTCAATATTAAACATTTATGTGCATTTCGGCAATATTCTAGGTTTTCCTATGGACACTATGCGCCCCTTTAATAGAAGATGAGTTCCTGAATTGTTATGAATCATAATTTATGGCCAAACTCAAGAAAGATCCGACTAAATTTTATTCAATAGGCACATACCGTTACCTTGATAAAAATGTATGGTCCTACACCCTGTTGATAGTATGCACTTATATTTTGGCATTGTATAATGTCATACTTTTTCTAAGACTGTTTATGATGTCTTTACACTAAATCCATTGGATGTGCACTGATTGATACCTTAGTCTGCAGAGCATGAGTTATTTATTATAATTAAACTCATCATAGATACAAGGATTGCAATTTTGTACGCCAGACTCGCGTTTCGTCTACAAAAGACTCATCAGTGACGCTCGAATAAAAAAAGTTAAAAAGCCCAAATAAAGTACGAAGTTGAAGAGCATTGAGAACCCAAATTTCCTAAAAGTTTTGCCAAATACAGCTAAGGTAATCTATTCCTTGTGTAGAAAATCCTTAGTATTTCGGAAATCCAAAGTTTTGTAAACAGTTTATTCATTAGTTGTTGTTGGCTTTGAAATAGCTTTCAGTAACTATGGGTACTCTTAGATCGGTACTTTATGCTTTCCGTCTCAATGTTACTTTTTTTTTCATGCTTCATGCCGATCCGATGAGTCAAGCCATATCTTACTGATTTTTACAGGTCTGTTCTTATGTTGTGCTGTTACACAGTTGTCCCAGGTTGGGGTAGGATTGTGTGCTCACTCACATGTGTAACCCCGCATCATTCTTTACCTGCTTGTCCCATGTAAGGAACCTGCAATTTAGCGATTGTCGTTTGGGTGTTTTGTCATAAAGTTGAAACTGTGTCACATTTTTGTCAAGTCGGAGTTTGGTTTATAGCTGACTATACGGTATAGATTTTGTTCATTGTTGAAGGCCATATGGTGACCTACAAATTCTCTAATCCACCTATTTTTGATTGTGTTAGATAGATGAATTCTAAAATAATATCAAATCATACATGTTTCACAAGTTGTCAAGGGAATTTCTTTTTCATGTTTTTTTTTAAAGGTAAAATGATAACATTTTTCAACTGATATAAATCAATATCCACATTTATCATTAACATTGTATATACACCATGTCTATTTTCAGCTCGCCGAGGATCTTATTTTATAAGAAAATACATTGACTAGTAATCGAAATGATGGTAAGATTGTGTAGTAGACGAGTCTATTATAGAGTTAGGAATTTCCAATTAAAACTGTAAGTTAAGCTTTATCTGCATAGTTAAATTAATATAAACTCTTTATTTATTACATTAATTGCTTTACTTGAACCCCAAAATTACAACGATGGTGTGTTTTCTGTCATGAATTTATAAAAAAATAGTAATAGTTTACTAGTATATAATAAGTGTATCGATATTGACCTTTAAATTTGAATTTGAAATACCGAAGAGGGAATAAAATATGATAACGGCATTATACTATACTAATAGAAGAGAGTGCATATAAAAAGACGACTCTTTAACAGGTTTGAAGGTAAACATAATAATACAAGACAAGGCTTTACAATGGTTGTGTTTATAATGACAACAATTCTGTTAAAGAAATATTTTTTTCAAAATGTTTGTCGTCACTTATTGCAAAACCATAATACTGTTATTATTACAATGGTAGAAAGTTATGAAACTCCAATCCTGACTGTTATGAATGTTGAACAAAAGGTTAGCTGTTGTGTTTGCAAATTGGATATTTTAGAAGTCTGACAAAATTTTATTTTATCGCTGACAGACAGGATCTAGACCTTTATAGAAATCAAAAGATGGTGTATGATTGCCAATGACAAAGGAGTAGGTTCGATAAGGCCTTAACATGGTCCCTTTTTTAGCTTAAATTTCAAATAAGGATTTATTGACCAATATCACAATGAATCATAGCTAATACAGTGACTATATAGGAAATAAGCCTTTTGTTGAAAATTTACGTACATGCGTTTTATTCATGGCGTCACAAATAGTACTCATTTTGATTTTCCACGAAAAAATCAATGAAAATGGGTAAATTTCCATTGATTATTGGACAGGAACTTGACATAGAGCGCATACGTCGACAAAAAAGATCATTTAAAATAATGTTTGTAAAGAAATTTTACATGTCTAACGTGAATATTTAATTTGTCGACGCCTGCGCTCTATGTTTCCTGGTCCTAAATTTGGTTAAATTCCGGCCGATTTTTGTCAAATTTCGCCAAAATCTCTTATCTTGACCTATTTGGGATGTAAATATCAACGCTTTAGAATAAAACTTTGAAACAAATAGTTCTATTTAACTTTCTCACATGTCTTTAAGTCAACTTAAAACATTTTTTATCTTGTAACATGGAACTTTATAATCGGGGCCATTTGGCCCTTGCCGAAAATACTCTTTTCCATCAGAGTCCAAATGACGTAGAAGTTAGCATACGTCTGTTGAGAAATATTCATGAACAAGTTTGGTATAAACCTCATTTTAATCAATGATCAATTAACAAGTGCAGTACTTGTACTCGTAGGTTTTATTATTTTCTCATTTAGGTTTTATAAATGACTGTTGAATTTATAATTTAATAATTGGTGACTATCTATGAAGGTTTCTGTAAAGTTTTAACAATTATTAACTCTGATTTATTGCAATATGCAAATCTAAATCGTGAATCAAAGTCGTGAATTGCAGTAAGGATTTCAAAGCGAAATTGGATTAAACACTCACCTATCTATAATGGAAGCTGTGCATATGCAGTCAGTTAATACAGTTAATTCCAGAGTCTCTCATCTTGCGATCTCCATATCCACGTGGTGTAGATACTAATAAATGCAGTGAATCTGGTTACATGTAGTAACTTATGTTAGTATTTTTAAAAACAGATAGATAAAGTTTATTCGCAACTCCGGATATAATCTTTCAATAATTCATTACATGTGATCAGTACATTAAATAATTAGTTTTGTTACCGATAATTTCTGACTGGTGTTTACATAGATTTTTTTTTATCGTATATAGCAAGATTAAATTTGCTAATGTTAAAGATGTTTATCATGTATAGAACATGAATAATTTTGCAGCCTTTTACTTTTATGATGTATGTATCGTAACCTTGAATGTTCTTAAAAGATATGTTTTATCGTTATCAAGGGAAAGAGAGGCGAAAGATACCAAAGGGACCTTCAAACTCATAAGCCGAAAATAAACTGACAACCACATGACAAAAAAAAGAGGACAAAAAGACAAACAACAGTATACGCAACACACCTAGAAAACAAATGAATGAGCAACAAGAACCCCAACAAAAACCGGTAAAGCAATATATCAAACAGAAATCCCGCTTTTTCATTGAAATTGTTGTAACAGTATAGGATATCAATAGTTGGCTACCTTATGTAATTAAACCGTAATGGATATGGCAAGCTGTTATTCTTTTATTTTATCAAAATGTATTGACTATTATTATTAATAAATAATTTTCATATCGTTGATAATTTCTTTGTAAATAATTTTAATTATAATAAGATAATAGTATAATCTTTGCCGTAACTGAAAAAGCAAGCTGAAATTCGATATTTTGGACCGATTTATTATTTGAAAAGTTTGATTGCCATTTCTGGTGTTTTGTATACAATTTTACGTTTATATTTCTAAAAAAATACTTTGAAACAGTATTGCAATTCATTAAACGAGCTGAAATTCAAAATTTTATTAAAACAATCTGACCTGTGTATTTGATAAATAGTAAAGTTTTCTCTGACGTAGCTCTTAATCATACGACATACTAGTACTTGGAATTTTTATTGCAAAAAACTGATTTCCCTGATCCTAATGATGTTAGTTGTAGTTTTTGTATCTATCCCTATTTTTTTTTTTATATAATTTTACTTTTATCTTTTTTAAAGAGGTATTGACATTTTATTGTTACGCATAGAGCACACTGAAATTCCTTAATTTATTGAAATTGCTGGATCTGCATAGGAAACATATAGTTGTGCTACCTATGACTTGTCTGTTGTATAAAGTTTTACCTTTGATTTTCAAAGAAATATTTTGTTTTAAACTCAAGTAACAAGGTGACAAGCTGACATTCCCGTACGTTATTTCAATTGTCTGGCCGGTAAAGGAAATCAATATCTGTGTTACCCTTGACTGATGGTTGTACATAATTTAATCTTAAAACAATTAAAAAGTTGGCAGCTCATATAGCATGCTGAAATTGCCTGATTTAAATGAAACTGATGGATTGGTACAAGGAATAGTTTACTTCTTTTGACCTGTTTGATTCATATTTTACTAGTAGTAGAAATGAATAGTTTTGGCACCTATGACATTTTTTTTGTGTTTAGTTTTACCTTTCATTTTAAAAAGAAGTATTTTAACTTTAATATAGCTGTAAATCCCTTGACATTGTTGGATAGCTTGATATCTAAGTCTGAAATGGTGTTTTGTTATAAGTTTATCTTAAATTAAAAAAAAAACACACAAAAAAAAACAAGACAACTCATCTAACTTGCTACTTAGATAACAATGTCTCCTGGGAAATGTATGTCTGGTATTGAAAATTATTGTTTTGGCTATCTTTGAATGGAGTGTAGAAAACATCATAGCCTTGAATTGTGTAAACAACAGGAAAACGTAAATCGCAAATACTTTATCAAACTGACCTCCCTTTATTTTATTGAATTGTTGGACAAGCGCAAGCAATGAATTCAATTGCTCCATAGGAAAGTTGTATTGTATAAAATCTTATCTTTTATTTTAAAAATAAATAGTTCAAATTGTACATCGACACATATACCAAGCTGAAATTTTTCTTGAAATTGAAATTCAGGAAATAAATTACCTATGTTTGGTTTGTTGTTCTTAATTCTTTCTTTTATTGTCCAAAATCCCAAGAATATTTGAAATTTTATCGCAACTCATATAGCAAACTGGAAATTACTTATCTATTTATATATAATAGATTAAGCATGACACAATTTTAACTTTTAGCAACGCGTGAACATATCCGAACGTCTACGCAAAGTGTATGCGTTTTCTAGTGAACGTGTGTTTACCATTAAATACAAAAAAATAGATAGCTTTTAGCGCGAGATTGCTTTGAGTTCATTTAGTCAGTTGTTAACAGACCTTACATGTTTTTATTTAAATTGGATTTGAAGAAAACGGTCGTGTAATTTGTAGTAAATTAAATTTTATCATTAAGCCCTCATCTTTGTAATGAACTACCTTTTTATTTTTTAATAAATACATTTGTGTTTTTAAAACAATTTGATAAAAAAATTAAAAAAAAACAACATCCGATTCTCGTGAAATTATAACTTTGATTACATAAATTCAGCTTCAATAACACTGAAATGATTTGTTTAAAAGAGAGGCGAAAGATACCAAAGGAACATTCAAACTCATAAGTCGAAAATAACAACACCATGGCTAAAAAAGAAAGACCAACAGACAAACAATAGTACACAAAACACAACATAGAAAACTAAAGACTGAGCAACACGAACCCCGCCAAAAACTGGGGGTGATCTCAGGTGCTCCGGAAGGGTAAGCAGATCCTGCTCTACATATGGCACCCGTCGTGTTGCTTTTGTTAGTACAAACCCGGTAATAAGTCTAATTCGGAAGGTCACATTCAAGGAAAGGGGGACGGGATTGTAGGTACGACATTTGGAACATATCCGCTATCATTTGTGAAACAGATATTCCATAACGGTCAACCAACTCGTGATGGCGTCCGTAAAATTTAAGAAGGGATTTCAACTTCACCACTTGGAACTCTTGGTTTAATAGCATCCTTGTCCTCTATGAAGGAAATCATGATAGGAGATACAAGCCCTGGAATGTCCTATCAACTAGGAGATATATAATCCGTATGCAGGCGCTGCTGGAATGTTGCTACATAGAAATGGAAAGTTCACAGTTGGGAAGCTTAAATCATCTCTTTTTGTCAATAATCTTTTTTATATGTTGTAAATAAGAAATAATAGTATCCTTTCCCAACAATGCTTATGAACTATTCCAACATATTTTACTTCAAAACTGTATTCAAAACAAATATTATATTTAATTGATAATGGAATCCCGGTAGCTTACATTCTAAACGGAAATTCTAACTTGGTCTTGCTTCAAGAAGAATAACAAACGATTATAACAGATCTGAAAAATTTGTAGTCAAACAATAAAATTACATTAAAATGCATGCCGTTTTTATAATTCCACTTAAAAAGTTAA